TGTGGGCACAGTGGGGTGCAGGGCAGCATGAAGAGCGAAAAGCTTCCACTTTAAGGTTCCTCCTCTCTGATCTCAGGCATAAAGCGTATGAGAGTTCCACTGGGAACAGGGCTCACAAGCAGAGGCCAGTGGCATCTTCTGGGGGAGGAACTGGATGGAGACAGCAGAGCTGGAGGTAAGTGGGAACACACAATGCTTGGGTCCGAGAGGAAGGTGGAGGACGGCACCATCAGGGCTGTTTGAAGGATCATGAAGAAGGCCTAAGAAGAGAAGATGCTGACGAGATATGGAGAGGTGTGGAGCCAGCGTCCTGTGCGCAGGCTCCGCTCGCCACAGGCACAGATGTGTTGGCTGGGTGGAAAGGCAATGAGCCTGGGCCACACCCGCCTTCAGGGAGGGTAGCAGCTGTCTGAGCAAAGACTCTCCTTTAGCCCCGCCCCTGCCCTCCCCTCAGGCCTGGTTCCTCCCTTGAAGGCTACATGGGCACCACCACTTCCCCACTCAGGGCCAGGAGGCAGTAGTGGTAGAATCTGGTCAGACTATTGGGCGATAAGGTGTTAATGCATAACGAGAGTCCCACGAATCTGGTCTCATTTACCATAAACTCATTTCTTAACCTCAAAGTATGCACCTCTATTTTAGGTAATTTAGAACAAAAAGCATGGGTCTGAGTAGAAAGGTTCTCCAGTGGGGGCCTAGTGAAGATCCCAGGTGTCCCACACTTTGGGGCTCTGGTGTGCCCAGCCGTTCTGGATGATTCCCGCCTAGCGGGGATGTAACCCCGAGGAGGAAGGCTGCTGCGCCTACAGACGCAGCTGGTCATCTACTGTGGTAAGGCATATCCAGGTGAGTGGGAGCTGAAGGCACCGGTGAGAGAAGGCTGAAGCTCCGAGCTCAAGCAGGGACTAGCGATAGCTACAGTCAGTCTGCCCTACCGCGTGCACGGCATAGCCAGTCAGTCACACGACTGGGTGTCACACCCAGTCACACAGCCCTCATTCCTGTCAGGCACTGGGGGTTCAGGAAGGAACAAGGCACAACTCCTGCTCTCTCGGAGCTTACAGTCTAGTGGGACTGCATTACACAGAGACAGCTGGGGAGGGAAGGGGCCGTTCAGCTGCTACGCGCTGACAGGAGTCCCTGCAGCTCTGCCCAGTGGGGCTGTAGGGTGGCCGGCCTAAGATGGCGGACACCTTGTGCTGGGGACGAGCCCACCATCCACTAAAAGGGGCACTGTCCTCTTTAGGCTCATTCTGGTTCCAGGAACTCTTTTCAGTGAGCAAAGGCGTCTCCCTCTCCTCCTGTCCACGCACAGAGAAGCAGCAGCAAAGAGGTACCAGACTAGGAGGGAGCAAACTGAGCTCAGCCTGCTAACGACAGCCTGCACTGGGATGGGTGGGTAAGCATCTTCCTCTTCATTACATCATCTGGCAGAGCAATGGCTAGGCCCAGAATATCCACCAGCTGGAGGGTGCCTGGCCTTGGCGGCCAGACAGAAAGGCATTGCGGTGCTCCGGTACCGTTGTGTGGTGCTGAACCAACTCTGCGGGCCTGTGGCCCCCAGCTGATGGCTACACTGAGTCCCATCTCTGGTGCTGATTGGGATGTGTGGGTCGGAGCTCTGGTGGTACTATGGAGGCTACCTGTTACACAGCACCTTCTACGTTTACACACTGGCTGGATGGCCAGCAAAGAGTGAAGGGTGGCACAGTGACTGTCTCAGCCATCAGAAGCTCCACAGCAGCTGGCCTGTGGCAGTACAACTGGTGTCACAGGCCGGAGAGGCAGATGCAGCTGAGCCTAGAAAAGCCATGACATCTGAGCTAGGACTTCAGGGGAGAGCCCGGGATGGCATGGCTCCCTGCAGGCTGATGGCTGATGTCAGGGTGTTTGCTGGCTGCGTTCTGCCCTCTGCTCTGGCCATTTCAGTTCCCCTGCTCCGCTGTATTCTGCTCAGAGCCGGTCAGCTCGAAATGTCTCCTCCACAGAGGGGTCTAGCAGGCCCATGCTGGAGTCACTTAACATGTTGAGTCCGTCCAGGCTCAAGGGTTCGATCTGCAGCTCCTCTTCCAATGGAAACGGAGTGTCCATGTCCAGGCCGACCTCAGGCATGCCCGACAGCCCCCCACCAAGGCCTTTGAACAGGTTGGTGCTTGGATCTTCTGAAAGGAGCAGAGAGGAGATTCAGGGACAGGAGAACTAAAGAATGGCAGTCCTCAGCATTCTATCCTGTCACCTTCCCAGACAGGCCAGGCAGGACGGCGAGCACCCATGCCCTGACCACTCCCAGGCCCATAGTTCTTCCTCTGGAATTGACGTTTGTTTTTTTTAGACAGGGTCTCATTCTGTATGTAGCCTAAGTAGGCTTCAAAATCAAGGGAATCCCTGTCTTAGCTTCCCAAGGGCTTGAATCTCAAATATACACTGTCGTGTCTAACTAAATCTTTGAATGTTTGTAGTTCCCCCCTTTTGAATGGTTCTTAGTCACCGCAGACTAAGTATTCTCAGAAATGTGTTGGCCACCAGGCCCTGGCCTCACTGCCTGCCTCTGTCTCTACAGCAGACCACCTGCATCTTAAGTCAGACTGAGGCAGGGGGTCCGTTTCATTTATAGACTGTGATATGATCTAGACCTCTCTCAGAGGCAAACACACTGTGGACCGAGACCAACAGCGGTGCTGAGGGGGCCTACACTCACCTGTCAGGATGGCGTCTGGGAAGTTTCCACAGTTGGAATACGGGTTTGGTCTCAAGGGAAACGAGTCCTGTGGTTCCCGGTGGCTCTGCTGCACCAAAGGCACCTGGGAGCAACAAAAGCCACAGTGGGCAAGCAACTCTGCTTCTGCGGTGTGTGTGAACCCGGGCTGCGTGTCCCCAGACTATCCCACAGCCCCTCTGCCTAGGATCCTGGAGGCTCTGCTGTGTGATGACACAGGAGGAGCACTCCCTGGCACCAGGAGGAGTCCGTGAGGACCACAGTGAGGGTAGCTTTTCTCTGCCCATACACTGCCTGCTACACAACCCCAAGAGACACCAGTGGCCACAGTTAGAGACTGTCTTTGGGTCTCTGATATTCCTGCTCCTCAGCCCATCAGAGAGGTCCCTCTGTGCTCCAGGAAACAGTGGGTTCTCTGGCTTCTGGGAAGTGAGAGAGTGAGAATCTTCTCTTCACCCGTGGCCAGCACCTCTCTAGGACAGAGCCTCGAAGGCCTATTTAGAAATAAGGTCTGATTTAGGAATTTTTGCTGAAATTATTTTTTTAGGCCATTTAAAAAAATGCCTTAAAAGAAATATCTCCAACACTTTTGGGGGAAGTGCTGGTCCTCATCTAGTCTGAAAGGGCTCTTTAGAAAACAGTGAAGAGGTGCAGGTCAGTGCCAGAGGGTTTGCCTGGCATGCCTGCCTCTCATTATGTGAGACCCTGGTCTGATGGCAAGCAGGACAAAACACAAAACAATAACAGCAAGAGGGGGCTGGAGAGACGGCTTAGAGGTTAAGAGCACTGACTTCTCTTCCAGAGGTCCTGAGTTCAATTCCCAGCAACCACATGGTGGCTCACAGCCATTTATAATAAGATCTGGTGCCCTCTTCTGGCATGCAGGCATACATGGAAAAATGTTGTATACTTAATTAATAAATACATTTTAAAGAAAAACAATAACAGCAAGAAAACCCAGAGGTGAGTACTGCTCGCTCTTGCCACTTGGCTATAACTATCTTTATTAATTTCTGGAGGTGGGTTAAACCCTCCCCCACTTCACTTTTTTCTTTCTTCCGAGATAGGGTTTCTCTGTGTAACAGCTCTAGCTGTCCTGGAACTAGATCCTGTGGACCAGGCTGGCCTAGAACTCACAGAGATCCGCCTACCTCTGCCTCCCAAGTGCTGGATTAAAGGCTTGCACCACCACAGCCCGGCCCTCCCTTCACTTTTTTAAATCCATCCTGAAGCCTGATCCATTCTTACCAAACACGATTAAAAACACAAAAGCAGAAGAAAGTGGCTGAATGAAAACACTCCATGGAAGGGATTTCTCCCATCCCAGTCCTGAGCTAAGCTCTCCCAGCAGGCCACGCACTGAGCTGGACACGGCACCTAGCAGGTCATGCACTGAGCTGGGCACGGCACCTAGCAGGCCATGCACTGAGCTGGGCATGGCACCTAGCAGGCCATGCACTGAGCTGGGCACGGCACCTAGCAGGCCATGCACTGAGCTGGGCACGGCACCAGGCCTGCAGGCACAGGGTTACACCACTTTCTAACTCTGCTGCTGCGGCCAGATGTTGTCCCTCCTTATCCTTCAGATTCTCCAACACAGGGGATTGGTTAGCTATCTGCTATAGCCCCTTATGTGAAGATGTGCACACACGTGTCAATGTACATTAGTTAGCTGCTATGGTCCCTGTGTGTGTGTGTGCATGCATGGACATGTGTACTGTGTGTGCATCTGGAGACCAGAGGACAACCTTGGGTGCTAGTCCACAGATGCCATCCACCTTCTCAATTTAAGACAGGGTCTCTCACTGGCCTGGAACTCATCAGCTAAGCTTGGCCAGCCCTAGGGATCCATCTGTCCCTTGCCGTCCCAGTGATGGGATTATGAGTGTACACAATTGTACCTAGGATTTCTTAATCTTTTACTTTTTGTTTTTTCAAAAAATTTATTTTTATGTGTTTAAATGTATGCCTACATATATTTTGTGCACCACATGCATGCCTGGTTCCTGAGGAGGCCAGAAGAGGGTGTCAGATGCCCTGGAACTGGAGTTGTAGATAGTTGTAAGCTGTTATGTGGGTTCTGGGAACCAAACCTGGGTTCTCTATAAGAGCAGCAAGTGCTCTTATCTGTTGAGCCATCTCTCCAGCCTGCACTCCTTCTTTTTGAAAGGGGTCTCATTATGTAGCGTGGAACTCTGTGTACGTAGGTACACAACCGACCATAAACTCACAGAGGTCTGCCTCCCTCTGCGTCCCAAGTGCGAGGATTAACAGTGTGCACAGATACACCTGGCGCCTACTTCTTTCTTAAATGTAGGTTTCCGCGAAGGCGCTCAAGGCCTTGTGCTTTACTGACTAAACTGCCTCCCCAACTCTATGACGAGAGTGTCATCAAAATCCACCACCGTTCAAACATTGCCTCTGCTGAGCCCTGACCCCACCAAGGTCTGTAAGGCAAAAGGCAGCCGCAGTGGCCCTGGGTAAGAGGGAGGCTGCGAGGCTCTCCTGGCCATGGAACACACCTGAAACAGAGGGAGGCCTCATCTCTTAGGCTGAAGGGGTCGGCACACAGAATGACCTCAGAAAAGGTGGAGCAGGAACGGCACCTACCTGCTGAGGAAAGGCAGGGCTGGGTCTCATGGGCTGTTGGTCAAAGCCCACATCTGGGAAGAAGTTGGTCAGAGATGAGCCCTGTGGGAAATAAGGAGGGAACTATTTATCGCCAGAGTTCAGAGTGAAACAGGGCTCCCCACCTCCCCACGCCCCACGGGGACTTACCTGGGCAGTGAGGAGCTGGAAATCTGACTGTGGCAGGGAGGGGGCTGCATGGGGCTGATGAGCAGGGGGCTCCTGGGCATGGGGCTGCTGCAGGAGGGGTTGCGGCATCTCCTGGGGTGTGGGGTAAGGGGGCGGTGGGGACACTTGGGCTTGAGCTTCGGTGGGCAGGAAGGAAAGGCTTTGCTCTGAGGACACCATCTGTGAAATAAACCAAGTGACTCGTCAGCTTCCAAGTGATAAAGGTCCTTAGGATTGGGAGAGCAAGAGTTAGAGGGGAGCTTGAATGTCTCCCTGCCACACTGAGATGCCTGGGCTCTGCCCCTCCAACTCCCTGCCACGCTGAGATACCTGGTCTCTGCCCCTGTCTTCCTGCCACGCTGAGATGCCTGGCCTCTGCCCCTCCATCTTCCTGCCATGCTGAGATGCCTGGCTCTGCCCCTCCATCTCCCTGCCACGTTGAGATGCCTGCCTCTGCTCTCTGTCTCCCTGCCACGCTGAGATGCCTGGCTCTGCCCCTCTGTCTCCCTGCCACGCTGAGATACCTGGTCTCTGCCCCTGTCTCCCTGCCACGCTGAGATGCCCGGCCTCTGTCCCTCCATCTCCCTGCCACACTGAGATGCCCGGCCTCTGCCCCTGCCTCCCTGCCATGCTAAGTTGCCCAGCCTCTGTTCTCTGTCTCCCTGTCACAATGAGATGCCCAGCCTCTGCCTCTGTCTCCCTGCCACGCTGAGATGCCCGGCCTCTCCTCCTTTGAAGCACATCTCAGGTTCACACCTGTGAAAGCATTCCTCTCAGTGACATTTCCATTGTTTAAATAAACAAGAATATAGCCAATTTCCTCTGTTTTCTCAGTGAAAATAATGTCTTGCTTGTTGTTAAAGCCATGACTGCTGGAGAGATGGGAGACTGAAGAAGGTACTTAGCTGCACTACCATCCTAAACTCTACTAACGCAAGACACCGACTCAACACTAACAGCAGTGAACATCAGCAAACAACACCACAACCATGAACTCCATTCAAGGGAGGAGAAACATAACAGGAGAAAAGAAAATGGCAAGACAGTCTGATCTGTGAAACAGCAGAACCGAGAAGGCCATGTGTTGTCATCTGGTTCAAGTGGCCCAGTCCCTAAAGAGCTCCAGGCTTGGGGACAGCAGGGAGGAGGGTTGATGTTAACCCAGGGGCGCCAGCAAGAGTTTCTGTGCTGGGCAACTAGCCGGGGAGTGGAAGCCGACCCTGGAGGGACTAGAGGAGAGGTCTCTGCAAGCCACAAGGTGAGCTATCTACCTCTGACTTGGCTCAGAAACTGCTATCCAGACACATGCCCAAGTATCCAACAGTATAGTATCGCTCAGGGACTCTGGACCAGCCAGAGACTTCTCTAAACACAAGTTCTAGACAGAAGCTCACCACAGAAAAGAGAGACGGTTCTGTCACAAAGTATTTGCCTCAGCAAGGCCTACTCTCAGAGCTGCCTGTCAACAATTGAGTGTCTTGCTTTTGAAAGTGAGGGGTGTCCCAGGGACTGTCAGACTGTCTCATCTCAAGGGGAGCAGACACCCAGCATCACATCAGAACCGGGGACTGTCAGACTGTCTCATCCCCAGGGGAGCAGACACCCAGCATCACATCAG